CTCTAAATTGTTGTACACGTTTTTTATTGTTTTCTTTGCACCACAATTGAATGACTGAGTTGTGATTTTGAATTTACCCAAAAAAAATTTCTGGCTAACATGGTTCTCGAAAATGTTAATTAGATAGTAAGAAATATTATAAATTTTTATTTATACAATGAATTTGCACGATGAAAAATATTAATGATGCAGTGATTACTGATTAACTGGTGCAACATTTTATAAATATTGCAAATTCCCAGGCTATACTTCCTCGCGTAAATGATCACTACTGCTGCGTGATTTTAATCATAGATTTTTATTTTTATTTTTATTGAATTTTGATTCCTGTGGTACTTTAGCTAATCTATCCATATTTATATAAACATTCATTATTAGGGTTGTCATGGTTTGGTGTTTGATTGTTAGATCTTTCTGTGTTTTGATTTTGGGTAGAATATAAAATGTTATGGATCAATCAGCAAACTATGTGTTGGATGAATTTACGAATCAACAAAAAAAGGGTTGAATCAAGAGAACTTTGAATTTGTTGTTTGATCTTTAATAACGTGTTCTATATAATGAAAGAATGATTCAACATACGTTGAGGCGTTCATGAGTTGAATATATGGGTATAGTGCTTGGGATGAAAATGAATTGAAAATTAGTCTTTTACGCAAACATGAATTTCTAAAACGTGACCTATCGAGCGTTAGCCTATTGCTCGAGCATCAGTCTAGTGCTAGGCGAGCGACGGGGTCATTGCTTTTACAGCTCGAGCCACGGCTAGGCGATAGGCTAGCGTTGGAGAGTCCTTTATTCATTCAATTTCTTGAAGTTCGAATCTTGATTCCTTTTGTATATCTTGGATTTCCTTTCAAGACTCTATCAACTCCAGTCTATTTTGACTTTAACTTGGACTGAAAAAATCATATTTCGATTTTGATTACAATTCAATTAATTCCTAATACAAATCAACTAAAAAAATTATTTTGACTTATGAAATTATCAATTACAAATATAAACTTAACAATAATATAATATAGACTTAATAATAAGAGAAAAATTCACAACTCAAACTTTATCTATCCCAAATCAAAAATCAGACCACAAAGTTTATAATTGCAAAAATCAGGTTTTTCATGAATTAATTAATTATATTTCACAATTATAATATTAAATTAAATATTTAACTGTAATATAATATAATTAACCCACCTCCACCTCCACCTCCCCTATTGCTCCGGCGACCACTTTCCACGACTGTTCTTCGGTCACAGATCAAAAATTTTGTAGGCTATGGATTATTTCAAGGTCACAAATCTAAAATTTTAGGTCACAATTTTTTTATTGGTTTCAAATCAAAAATTTTGTAAGTCATGGATTAGTTCGAGTTCACAAATCTAAAATTTTATCGGTCACATATTATTTTATTGGTCACAGATCAAAAAAATTATATGTCACAGGTCCCGTATTTTCAAATTTATTGGTCACATATTCTTTTTTTAGTTACAAATTATCAATTTTAAAGTCACAGTTCAATAGTCAGGTCAAAAATACCNCTATTTCAGTGAGTCACAGTATTCTATAATAATTCCTCCGGTTGGATTCTGTTTTTCATCAGTCTATTATGCCTTTTGTACCGCCGCCGGCTATGGATTCATCCCACGACCGCAATCTGATCATTTCATCTATCACACCATAGATTCATAAGGGCCGGAAAATAAATCGTTTTTCACGAAAAAGAAAAGAGGTGAATAGATAAATGATACCTTGCAGCCAAGGGAGCGAAAATTGAAATAGATAAATGATACCTTGCAACCAAGGGAACAGAAATTGAAGGAATCGAGGAGGCTACGCTCACAGACTCGACAAGTATTTTCAGTTAATATAATACCAGAAAACATTCTGCAAAAATAGTTTTGTGAAATGTGAAATACGAGCAGATCTCTTTGATGCGACTACTGGTTAAAATTGCATTTCCCCAAGCTATGTGAGTGCTGTAATTCAATGGTTTACTAGGAAGATTTGAGCAGGTAAGCTTCTGCATAAGGAGGCGGCGGTGTGGGAGGATGGAGAGAAATGAAGGAGGCGGCGTTGTGGAGAGAGGTGAGAGGGTGGAGAGAAATGGATAGATTTAGGGTTTGGATAAATTAATATGATAAAAACCTGAAAAGTGGAAAAATAAAGTGAAAACTTGATTTTTTAAAACGTGAAACTAAACACCTAGTTTATGGTAATTTCTCTAATAATAATAATATATACTTAAACCATTAAAAAACCACAAGTCAACCTTGTCCTAGCACTACCCCAAGTGCGGCCCCTCCACCAACACCCCAGCTCTATCTGCCTCCCTGCCCAATTGAGTAGGGATGGTAATTGGATGGATAATGTAGAACATTTTGCCATCCTTACAACTGAAGCCATAATTATTAATGATGAAAATTGTATGAAGTACATATATACAATGAAAATCTAGTAATTGTTCTTTCTCGTCTCACACTCTATTTGTAATAGCAAGGAAAGAAAAAATATCCGAATCTCGAATGGGACTAACTAGTTATAATCTCTTACTTGAATTGACTGCCAAAAGATGTGGATTTTCATTTCCAACTAATGAAGTAGTACAATTTATCAGTACAATCACCTTTACGACATGGTGTTGGAATTTTAGGGTAATATTAAGGTTTAATTGTGTGAATTTGAAAAGTCTTCAATAGGTTAGTCGATTGGGTGCGATTATTTAAGTACAAAAGGTGTATAATGAAGAGTCACGACCTTTGATAAATGTGCAATTTAGCCTCCGTTTGTCTGTAATTTTTCATTCATAAAAATGAAAAATATGACCGTTTTTTATTACATCAAGCCATCAATTTTGAATTTTTATATCTTGTGTGGGGCCTAATAACGGCTATATTGTTCATTGTAGAACATTCTCATTCTACAATAATGAGAATAAAACGGGCCCTTAAATAATCAATCTTAAAAATGAGCGATCTAATGATTGGAATTAGTTTTGCTAAAAAATGCGATCATTAGGAAGAGATACATGAAAATTTATACATATTACCCTCCTAACTCAATTTTCTTCACTCCAAATCAATTCCTAATAATTGATTTCTAATTCTTTTCTTTTTCTAAATTTTGTCAAAATAATTTCTATATCATTTTGAGTTTCATTTTCGATATTTACTATTCGATATCTTCAATTTTAGAATAGTACATTCAAGCATTGGTTCTCCATGCAAAATCAATAGTGTGTTATATTAATTTTAGAAGCGTTGTATATGGGGAGATGAACGTCCATTTGATCATGTTAGCGTCAGTGCAGGGGATGAAATCCCCCTTAAAGAGATTTGCATTCGCATACCTCGCTCATTTTATCTCTTTCGATTTCTTAGTGATTTGCCATTATTATGCATGTACTATGATTCGGTAAGTGGTTATTTTAGTATTTGCATGCACGTATTTTTGGTTAATGAAATATAATTCATACACAAATTTAGCCAACAATCTTAAGATGGAATTTACTCTGTTGTTGTGCATAATCAATTGATTATGTTAAAACAATCTGATTCTAATATGTATGCATGAAAGATCATAAACATAATCGATTTTGGTTGCTTGCAATTGTTTTTTTTTTGTGCACGTAGGTTGGATTGACTCTACTTCTTAATCATGCCTTCAATTTTGCATCCATTTTATATCACTGTACTTTTGAGTGCTATTCATCCCCACTGAGGTTACAAACACAGTTTAGGTGGCGTTAATGTGTCATTAAATGATATGTAAAATTAAATAATTAATTTCACATTTCATTTAACTTATCATTTAGAGTCACTTAGACCGTATTTATAACCCCACTAAGGATGAATAACATTATTCTTTGAGCTCAAAAGGCTTCTTTTATTGTTGGATGAATTCTTCTGCATGTGGACTTTTGTTTCCAACGTCAAAATTTATGAACATTAACGAAGCGGTGCCCCCCCACCCCCCTTTAACTGCCCCAACAGTTTTTTCTTGTCGATTCATTCTCTTAAGTGTTAGAAATTGGGTCAACTTTCCATCGTTATGTGTATTTCATAAGAATTCTGTCAGTCTCGTTTGACAGGAAAGAGTATTCCATTAGTAAATTGAAATAGTTTCTATCATTTGTGCTAAACTGCTAATTAACTTTTCGTGGTTATATACATTAGTACACGATTCCCCAGAAATATATTTCTCGGTTTATTTTGAAGTACAAAAGGTGTATAATGAACAGCCACGGCCTTTGATAAAGGTTCAATTTAGACCACCAATCTTGAAAATGTGTGATCTAATAGTTGGAATTAGTTTTGCCAAAAGATACGGAAGTTAGGAAGACCCAAGAAAATCTATTAAAGAGAACGCTCCCAATTCCATTTTCTTCACTCAAAATCAATTCCTAATAATTGGTTTCTAATTTTTTATTTATCTAAATTCTGTCAAAATAATTTTCAAATTATTTTGAATTTCATGTTTGATATTTACTATTTGATATCTTCTATTCTAGAATAAAATAGTCAAGCGTTGGTTTGTCCAGCAAAATTAATAGTGTGCTATATTAATTGTGGAAGAAACGTTGTATTTTGAAAGACGGACATCTATTTGATCCTGTTGCACCAGTGCAGGAGGTGAAATCCTTTTTAAGGAGATTTACATTCGCATACCTCGCTTCATTTCATTCCTTCGATTTTTGCATTTTCTATGTTTGAATAAGTAGTGATTTGCCATTATTATGCATGTATCATGATTCGGTAAGTTGTTACTCTAATCTTTGCATACACACATTTTTGGTTAACGGAATATAATTCATACACCAATTTATCCCACATACAACAACAATAATATGATATACACCACTCTACATTAAACAATTCTTCTCCCCTTTACAACTCTTTTACATCCATGACAGGTTGGTTAATCCTAAGTAGTCTTCTACCTGAAATTGAACTTACAACGGCTATTAACTGCACCGATATATGTCAGCTTTAGCTTGTTGCTTAATCGGAAACTCCCAAAGCAGACTGCGCTCATAAAAGTTCCAGGAGTTGTCGATCAATAAAACCGAAACAAAATCAGAGTAATAACTCGAATATAAGAAATTTACATCATAACTTCACAAATGTCATGTTTGGCTAAGCTTATAAAAAAAAAAAAGTGAGATCGTCTGCAAAAAATCTAAAAAAGTAACTTTATGAAAAACGTCTCAAACATGTTCAGCAAAGAAAGTTACTTAAAAAGTAAATTTAAGCTTAGCCAAAAATGCAATGTTATCCATAAGTTCCCATGTTCCCTTTGAATTGTATTAAAATCACATTGAAAGAGGAACAGAGTATCACACTGACCATATTAAAAAGTCGTAGAGCAGCAGGCCTCGTGAACTTCCTTGCGAAAAGAAAGCATTTGGAGGGTTTCCCCTTGCTAGCGCACCATTCTCTTCTGTATTCAGTCTCATAATAAACATTATCTATACCCTGCATAAAGAGAGGATATATAGAGGTAATAAATATTATCTCCCTTCAATATCTGAGATATCCTAGTTATCTTGAAAATGAGATCTTGAGAGTGATAAATAGCAGTTTCGCTTATGCACGCTTTTAAGTGCTCGTTCAGTATTAGAAAGTTTCCCTTCAATTTTAGCTGATATTTCTTACTGCTGCCAAAAGAGCATTTCTTATGACATTTATATGATCTCACAGGGTTTTCATTTATATTTTCCTTAAAATAATGTAAATAATTCCACAAGCGATTGTGTCAAGCGTCTCAATATGCATACTAAGTTACAGTTCATTCAGAGGCTGAGCAGAAAGCTTGTGCTCGACTAATTTCACCATAAAATGTATTGGAACATTTGCATAAAACCAGCGACACATATACCATACCTTGATGGATTGTACAAGTGAAGGAGTAGCATCGACTAACTTGTAAGTTATAGGATGCCATCCTCGTCTTTCATGTTCTCTGGAAAAGGAAAGATCCCAAGCTGTATGAGTCAACGTCCTCCTTGTAACTTCTTGTTCAAGACCTTTGTGCTGAAACGTGAAGGCTAAGAGAATCAGAGGAAACAGAAAATATTATTATGGAAACATAGTCTACAACTTTGAAGTCATTTTTCACAAGGACTACCTATTCCCCCTAGTTTCATCCTGGAAAGGAGAAGAAAGAACAACTTACCGCAAGCAAGGTTTGAACATAATGTTCATCTGGTATACAGTTATGCTCCTTAGAATTATCAGAAGGCTGCATGGGGCAATTATCGATAGAAAGAGTGAAATCCTCGTACGCAGAAGTCAATCTTAACAACTAATGATTTGCATTAGGTCGGGCAAAAACGATGATCCATATAGCATGTCAAATACGATAAGCAGATACAAGATGCTTGAAAACAAAGGAAATAAACAACAGAGATACTTACAACATGTCGATCTCGCCAAAATTCAGGTAAAGACTTCCGCTGTTAGGAAAACTGAACAAGTGAGGGGCAAAAAAAAAAAAAAAACAGAAGAGAAGGAAATATACAGTAAGCAATATAAACACATATATTGTACATATCAAGGCAAAGTGCGCAACCTATAGATCAAAACCACGTTCATTAAAGAAACAAATGTCTTAATGCATAGCATCTTGTGATCACAAGGAAGTCTGGCTAATTGAGAACTAGATGTCACAAACTTCTATACTTGTATTAAGATTCATAAGCCCCTAATAGCGACATGATAGTTTCCCTAACTTGTAAACCAGCACAAAATAGCTTGCATTAAGGAGGTGTAAAGAACAAGTCGAAACTTAAATTTTGTGAACAGAGGTAAAAGTGGTTGAATTTATTGTTCCTAATCTTCCTAATGAAATTACATCATAGGGAAGTACCCATCAAATGGCTCATTGCAAAAACAGTTACCTTGCAACAACTCGAACACTGTTCAACAAAATGATTAAAAGACTTGCCTTGCAATGAGACTGAAACATAGGGAACACAGTGTCATCTTTCACTACAATATCTGCATGCTTTCTTGTCAGAACGACCCACTGCAAAATGCAGAAAACATTTCAGGTTCTCTTTTATCACCGAGTTTCTGAAATTATTTATCTTCAGGAAGCAAAAATGCTAAGAAATGACGTTACCTGAGATCCTTTCCTCCAGTTCTCAACTGGAATCACCGGATGCATTTTTGGATTGTAACGACCTTCTTTCGTGTCAGCAAAACTGTTACCAATTAGAGTACAAAAAAAGTCTTAAAATCATTCTTGACCCATATATCTTACAATGCCTATTTGTGCAAGTTTTTGTATGAAAATGATATGCTTAAAAGTAAAATAGAGAAAAAAAAAAATATATTCAGAAATATTTTGTGATTACTGCAGTCTTGTCATTGATACAGATGTATTTACTTGTGGAAAGTAAGAAAAAAATGCAGTGGTGCTAACCTGTCCACAAAACTAGTTGAGGCAGACATTATGTAATCGTATGTGTAGCTGAAGTTGTATAAAGGTATGCAGCTGAAACAAGATTAACCAGGAGACAATGTTAGTTATGTGATTTGCAGGCAACTGAAAACAACAAAAAAAATTTCCTCAATACTCTTGTTACAATAACATAAACTAAGCCATTTCCATGTCCCCATAAATTTGGTGTCAACTACATGAATCCGTTTTTGCCACTATGTTGTTCATTATTAGATCAACAACCACAAAAGGCCATGTTAGGTCATTCTTATGAAAAAGAGCTGAGCTACTACAATTCCACACAAACATGTCCCTACCACCTAAGTTGTTATTCACTTAATTTATCCACAACCAGTGCCACCTCCACTTGTTGGCCTTTACTCTCATAATATCTACTCAAAATTTTAATAATTTGAAATCACCTGTCTGAAAGAAAAATAAACCGCTCATTAAATGGATCCATCAATGCACTTTCAAGCAACATGCGTTCTGCCTGGATCATACTTGCTTCTCCCCAGTCTACCTGGAAAGAAACTATCACTTGCTAAATATGACATGAAAGCTCAATGAGTTAAACACCAAAGTTCAAATATAATGTTAGCCAACATGAAACTGATAGCCCCACTCCCAGCAGTCACATTTTGCATTCATCATAGATACCTTCTTGTCAAACTGAGTTAATAATATATAAGAGATGAAAAAAATCATCAAAGAAGTTTTAGTACATAAATCATTTAACATTTCATGTAAATTGCTATATAATTTAAGTTGAAGCTCATATACTTCAAATAAAAGTAAACCTGCACACTATCATTAATCTGGCGATTCAAAAAATAACTTGATCTTGTTGTTGCCTTGCTGAGCAGAAAACCAGGTCTTGAGTGAACAAAGATCGAAAACCTATTCTCTTTATCACCCTGCAAAACAACATAAATGGCTCTCATAAGTCAATTACTGAAGCTGTCTATTCAAACATCCATCCTTAACAACTCAACCGACTCATCATATATTAGATTATCTAGTATACATTACTGATGCCTAGAACATATTTCCTTAAACCTGGAACCTTCGTTAGAACTCAAGTGATGAAATGATATTTGTTTTTCACCAATATATTACCATTTCGGGTTGCTTTGTTGAAATTAATGAAAAGGTGATAAAGCTAAGCTTTTTACCAAATTTCTTGACATATCTAATATAAGCATGTGAAGGGTCCTAAGCAGCATTTGAAATTCAACTCAACAAAATTTCTACTGCCTTACAGAAAAAATCATCTCTACGCGAATCATTTCTCTTATTTGAATTAAAAGAAAAAATTAAGATGATCATCTAAAGAAGTCCCTTGATCGTTTAAAGCTTCTTGATTACAACTCTCACATCCCATTCCCACAAGTTGAATGGGATTGTTCACTTGAGGCTTATTACTTACATTATTACAAATTATTTCGGGTGTTATCTGTAAATAAGACGTTAAGCTTCTTTACAAATTTTATTGAGCTGCCATACAGTAAAATCTACGAAATACGGAGGTACTTTAACGAGACCACTTATGGTTTGTTCTATGTGTGACAAAACCTAATTGGTTTATGTCAATTTTACTTCGTAAAACTTGTAGCTGTTACTACTAATGCTGCTACTTTTGAAAGTTGGGTTGATCCCGATTGAAATAGGAGGACCTCTGAGAGTTGATGCAAGTCATTTGAGGACGTATTACTATTACTATATATCGTGTCTTTCTTGACAAACTTTTGACTGAATCGTCTTCCCTTGAGGGATTCCTTGCATTATATAGGAAAAGTGTTAGCTTATACAAATATGCTATCAATCTAAATACGATAGATATAATCAACCTAAATATGATAAATACAATTATATGCATAATTATGTTAAGTTATAATTTTCGTTGATCTTCGTCAATCTCCATTATCTCTATCGATCTCATTAACATCCCCATCCCCATCAAATTGACGTGGATGATCAAGAAACATCAATTTGTTAAACAGTGTACAAAAGAACTCAAAAGGCCCAACTACAATATTCCGTTGATAGCTAGTTGGAATATGAGTTCAAGGATCAATAGCCCATTCACTCAAAATCGTCCAACCCAAGCCCAATACTAACACGTTAGCCCTAATCCCAAACTTATTGACCCAGCCCACTATCTTTCCCATAAACCAACCTAATAAGCCCAATTACCCAAAACCAAAATCGGCCCACACCTTAACCTTCACCAACACTTCCTAACCCAGAGATGTTGTCGATCAGTGTTGACTGCTACACCTACCTTCGATTCAAACAAATCCATCACTTTAGCCTCTATAAACCCCATTATCTACCTATCACACCAGGTTAGGTCCTCTGCAATCAGATGCAAACGTCATCCTCTCATCGCCGCCTTGAATATTTCCAGCATGCAATCTCCGTCCTCAACCATCATCGTGTGCTTGCAACTGCTGTTTTCTTAACACCACTATACACAAAATCTGGAAGACGGACAAACACAACTGCTGCTTTATCACTCATACCCAATTCCTCTGCAAATCCAATTTAACACCACAAAATAACCACGACATCATACGCCTATCTCATACCACCGTCGAAAACAAACCATAAGCCAAACAATACAAAGTGCCCAACCAAGATTCATAATCCAAGTCAAAGACATAGCCCAAACATCGCCACCGACAACTGCCGTTAGCATCGGCATCTCAGTCCTAGTTCGCCGTCGTCATCCGCTCTTTCTTCTTCTTTGACTTCGAATTGTCTTCCCAATTTCTCTATTATGAGGGCGACGGTTAGTCCCCAACCAATTCTTCTCTTTAGAAGTCAAAATAATAACGTAGAGATTAGAGAAAGAAACTCGTGTCCTACAATTCGGATCCAGTTCTTAATGTACCGAAGAGTCACACGTTGACAAAATTCTGTCAATAATCGACCACCATAAAAGTCACATGTTGACAAAAATTCTGTTAACTGTGGACCACCACAAGAAACCAACACCTAAGAGTCTGAGTTATGCCTAAAGGAAACCGAAGATTCAGTATAAAGTCTACGACAAACTTTTGATTGAATAATCTCTCTCGAGGGATTTCTTGCATTATATAGGAAGAGCATTACCTTATACAACTATGGTATCAATCTAAATATGACAGATGTAATCAACCTAAATAAGATAAATACAATTATGGCCCTGTTTGAGCCACCTTTTTATAGAATGAGAATGAAAAATATAGTCGTTATTGGAGCCCACACAAGAGATAGGAAATTTGAAAATGTTGATGTGATGGATAACAGTCATATTATTCATTTTAATGAGATAAAAAAGTGGCCCAAACGGGGGCTATATACATAATTATGTTAAGTCATAATTTTCGTCAATCTTCACGTTAAGTCATAATTTTCGTCAATCTTCGTGATCTTCGTCAATCTCTATCATCTCTATTGATCTCATTGACATTTCTATCTCGGCTTTGTTTTATTTGCAGGAATATTATTATCTTATCGGTATATCCGTTCAATTATATTGTACATCATAGCACTTAAAATTAAGGCACTAGCTAGAAAATCATCTGTTCAGCAAATTCACTTAACTATGGTTTCGTTACAATTTTTCATTCAAGTTAACCAGTGTGTAATACACTTCTTGTTGATTACACTCTGTTTACTCTAATTAGACTTATCACAAGTTTTTCAGAACTTATTTGCCTTAAGTCGAAATAATCTATTGTGGCCAAACATGAGTACTACAAATGACTTAAAGTACTCTCCATTCCATTCCTTTCCAATGTCATTAATGAGTTTGCAATTTATGGATTAACATCATCAATTATATCAATATTTCCATCTAAACACTCACTGTCCCTGATCTATTAATGCTATCGCGGCCAAATCAACACTATACAAAAATATTCCTCAAAAGGGATGCCAACTATGGCGCTGCAACAGAGAGAGAACATACTTCCAGAACAGCATTTAACATCACCTGCTCTTTGTACTCTATACAGTTAAATAAATTCCAAAGGGGGAAACTGATTTTGTTCATTGCGTCACTATTATGAAGATATAATTAATTGATTACTAAAAATAGATTTAAGAAATTAAATAAAAACAAATAAAAAAGGTTAATTACCTGGAAGAATGCATCCCAAACCATGTCAAGTGGAAGTCTATTTCGTGCTATAAATAGAAACGCCATTTTCGGCTTCTGAACCAAAGGCGGAGAAATTAACGCTAAAACCTTGATCCTGCTGTATAGCGATTCCATTAACACTAAAGTCGCAAAACAAAATACAAGTAAAATCACAACAAAAAGCTTCGTCTTCCATCTCTGGTGAAATTTCTGCGAAATCGACCTCCTCTTCATTTACTCTGCTTCACTCAAATTGTACAGCAAACATTTAGAATTAAGGGCGTCAGCATTTCACAAAATTTTCCAACCAGCACTGAACAAAACTCAAAAATATCAAAAGAAGTGGAAATACGAAGTCAGTTCCTCTCTAAATACTCCTCGCACTTGACGTCTCAAGCTCTCATTTTCATTGAGGATACTGTATGATTTTTCCATCCAGTCACTATAATCTCCGTTTTTAGTCTTTTGTATATAATCTGGCGATAACAACACCAGATCTAAACAGAGGTCAAGCGTTCGAAACTAAAATGAACTGAATTTGCCTGAAATTCCCTCAAATCATCATAAAATAAAGCAAAAGAAACACAAATTACAACACGATAAGATCGTGAATTTTCTCCAAGAATCTCGTGAAAATTCCTGAATTATGAAATGGAACAGAACTTATAGAGAAGGGGCATGGGTTGGGGCGTGGTATAGTGTGACTGTATCAACAGACTTGGCTTGAAGAATGAGATTTTATAAGTGGTGAGTTGAAGTAGTGCATTGCGTTTGCGTGTGATCGCTTTAATGGGTGGGAATTAAATTGTCAGTCTTACCCTGCAAAATATACATATCTACGAAATTTGCCCAATTCTCCTAATTCCATTTTTCATGGAGGATTATTCTACATATAGACCTTGTGGTGTACATAATCTTTTACACCCCTCACATGGAGAGGGGCCCACAAATATTTTATTATATGTGGGCCCCCTCCATGTGAGGGAGTGTAAAAGATTGTGTAAACTATTGTGTACACATAGCACTTCCCATTCGTGGAACCTTTACAATTCATTAATGGAATGCCTAACTACTAAATTTGTCAACAAATTTGATTTAATTAAGGTTTATTAATAATTCCCATTCAAAGTTGTTAGCTTGTGCATTATATCTAGGCACATTGTGGGAGGAGAATAAGCAAATCTTCACCATAATACAGATAAAATTCAAGATCTCGCACTTATACAATATCAACGGCAAACTTTTAGTTAGCTCGAAGAATGAATTGACATATCTCTTCATGCTAAAGCATTTTCAACCAATCAAATCAAGATGATTTAATTCCTAGCTTTGATTTATGTATTAGTTGCAGTATTGTTGGTATAGGAAAAGATGATTCATAGCATTTCGATTGAATAGATAGTTCCACCAATTGGTATAAAGGAATATATTGGATTCTAGGTTGGACGGCAGAGCAAGCACATGCCTTACCATAGTTGCGGTTCTTCTTCATCTTGACTCAGGCGTCGATCAAAGATGTCTTAGATTTGCAACTGAATTTATCATATGATCTATTAACCTTTTTGAAAGACAATATGCTTTAGTAAAAGATATAACTTAGCTTTGCTTTTAAAAAGAAAAATAAATAAATTAGAAACTAGCATGTAATGAATCGATTTTTCAAGCTTAATCTTTTTAACTAGTTAATTAAAATTTTGCCCAACCCTAATGATAACCTAAAGCTCTAAGTACAGAGTGAAGTAAGAAGAAAAGACGAAATAAACACTAAAGCAAGAAAAGTATTTTTTGTTTAATAAGTTTGCATAAAAGTCTTCTAATAGAGACAAAGAAAATCAATCATTTACAATTGGGCTAAAAAGAAAGAAAACGAAAACTCTAGGGGTCATTCTTCAAGACCCATGAAATTTGTGTCGTGTAGTGTGAGGGTCTATTGCAAAGTTTACACTTTACAGTTTACATGTGACATGGACCCACAGGTTTGTGTTAATTACAAATTTCCCCACAAATTGATATACAAGTTACATGCTCTCATTTGTACTTTGAAATTATGTCGGCCTTCATTTATTTTTTTTTTTTTTCAAATCATATTTTATAAAATCTATAATTTTTATCAACTTTTCAACTGCACATTTCAACAATTTTTTCAAATTTCGTGGGCTATATATGTACCTAAATTTTTCTTTCTTCTTTGTTTTGCTTTTCATAGCTTTTTTCCTTCTAATATCTATTTTTAGTTAACTTTTTTTTTTTTTGGAGAAAAAAACCCATTTTGCAAAAAATAAAATAAAATATACTTATCCTTTATCTTTGAGTCGATATCTATTTTCAACGTTGGAATATGAATTGAAGATGAATTCAACAATAGAATAAAACGACGTTTTTTTGTAGAAGCCACTCGTGATCATTAAATGCGAAAATATTTACTATTACTAGTTCTTTTAAATGTATTGACACACTTGCTTCTTACTCGACACAAAACATAGCGTTCTAGCCATTTAGCTCAACTTTCTTATACGCCTAAGAAGCCCACTTAAGATCTTTTTAGTCGCAATCCATGATCTATTTTGAGCAATTTTTAATTTGTTCTTTTAGACATTGTACTAAGAGAGAAATTAATTATTTCGTAATTATTCTCATATTAGAAAGTAAAATTATCGAGTCTCGCAGCTCTTTTTTTGAATTTGTAAGTGTCTCGAGATCTCAATTTCATATTAGTCATAAATAAGAATAAAGAGATAAATTCATCACACCAATAATTGATGCGATGGGCAACACGGAAAAAAATTAATGTAAATGTTGCTTTGGTCAATTCCTTGCGTGCATTTGAATAAAAGCATAAGCATTTATATAAATAAAGATTTTCCTAACTGTGAGAGGAATTGACTAACTAACACTCATTATAGAATTTGGTATTCTAAGGAATCATTTAGTCTTGACATCGGCCCCACGCTACTTTAAGTTATTCTCACTTAAACGTAAATGTATGTTTATATTATGTATTCTAATTGATGTACGTGAATGTTCGTATGAAATAAAGTCTTTGTTTGGGAAATTAATTTAGTAAATTAAAAGTTAATTCTACTATTCAACGAAAGTTAAACTTTAATCTCAATTATTTATAAAACTAAGACTTTTTATTATGCACATATTTCACGATCGCTACACTAGTAATTCTAAAAAGCTCCTAAAAAATTACTAAGTATGCTACTCAGTCCCGTTGGAGTTGAACCCGAGTTTAAATGGTGGCACAATCAACATCCTATGTAGTAAAATTCTATTTTTAAAGCAAAAAATTAAGAGGAAATTGCAAAAAATGTCCAAAATTGTTCAATATCCATTTTACTATAATTTATACCAAAATGCATTTATTAGCAATTTTAAACTTCACAATGAGAACAAAATTATTCATATAATTAAAAATTGTATTAACAAATAATAACTTGACACATTACATATGCAACTTATATAAATATCACATCAAGTGAGAATCATTTTTTGGACGATTTTAACCATACTACAATTTAATTATTTCAAAAATACCTTATTTTTCGTTTTTTAATATGTAATAAATACTATAAAATCCGTGTTATATATGAATTTCGTGTCATTAATGCTCAATTAATTAAAATTCAAATTAATCCAAACTCAATGAATATTGATTTGAATCTTGATCTACATTAATATAGATTATTATAAATGAATTTATTCATATTCATGTATCTAGGAATTTTAATGTGTATTTAAATTCACGTATTATATTAATTCTTATGTACAAAAATGTGGTATAAAAATATTGCTCATTTGTAGTATTTCATCGTCACAAAAAATTTGAGCCATGGAAGTTGAGTTTTGAGAGTAAAATTTTCTTTAATTTGTTTGATACTCATCAAATCATCTCGACAAGTTGGTATTAAATATTAATTTTACAACATTTATAAAATATTTTTGAATAACGTTCAATACACGTTCAACTTGACTAGTTTGAAAAAAAGTAACATGTTTGTCAATCATGCATTAAATGCCCACTTCTCCCTATAAGTGGGAAAATAAACCGTTTAACAATTACTCGACACACCCGTCACAAATGTTGTCCAATTTAAGATAAAAATGATCAAAACCATCCAACCCATAAGACCTTTGAAAACCTACCCAAACCACATGACCCAATTCGTATGGGTGAAAAAAAATTGAAACCTAACTAACCTTTATCCATTTTTCTGTTTGATGCTGGAGGGTCCGAGTCAGATGTTGAGTTGTCAGATAACACGTTAATGGCTCTAAGATATTATGAGTTGGCAGATCGGCACAAGGATGGCAAGTGATTGCGTAACTTTGACAATTGAGTCGTGTTTCAATAATTTGGCTATAACTTTGGCTACGACTATCAGAATCACGATTATGACCACAATCCGAAAAGCTCGTTTTTGGCGCGCACGTCGTGGTCACCGAGCTTTGCTCAATGTGTGCTGTTTTCATCCTCAAATTCCACTGTTTCCCTTCCGAATTGCTATTTTTAGTTAATTTTTGCTATTTTTTGTAATATTTCGATTGCATGTTAAGAGATGATTTTTAATTCAATTTGGGCTAATTTTTTGCAGAATACTTATTTTATTCCATAGGTGTGATTTTTGAAATTTTGCCATTTTTGATAAAATTCGAATTTTGGCTATAAAGTCCAGCTTGTGGACTTATTTTCATTATTGTGTGATATAATAAATTCTCTAAACTTTAGATACGTTTTCTCTGTGTTTTTCGACGTTAATTTTGTGTTCTTCCCTGTGAATTTGCTGGTAGAACTAGCTTGCAAAATAATCACTATTTTACTCGACATCAGTTGGCATCAGAGCTTCAATCTTCTTCTTAGGTGAGATTTCATCAGTTCCAATGGCTGAAGGTCGTGGTCGACGTGGGCAAGTTCCGAATGAGGAAGTCCAACATCGTGATCGTAATATTCAGGATGCCACGATTGAAGATTTGCAGAGGCAAGTTGCAAAGTTAACCCAGCGCCTCCCAGTGCGCTATTTGGAGGACCATGAGGTCTCCAAACCCGAGTCTGATTCCGCTGTTTTTGAAAATCCCTACCACCAACATGATCTATTTCGGGAGCACCGTGGTCGGGAGAGCGTTATAGGGAT